CATTCGAAACCATATTAACCTTCTTCCAATAACAAACGACAGAACTACAGCCAGGAGGAAATTTTTCCTAGGAACCTATTCCCGTCTGTGGAATAAGCTTCCTTTCGAGATGAAACTAACGACACAACAAAATATTTAAGGAACGCATTGGAAAATTTCCAACTGTAGATAAAATGATCCAACTACACAATCTCACCAACGAAGTATTGGCATTTCAAAACGGCATGGATTATTACCACTTGAACTGTCCTGCCTCTCCCACCTGATCCTCTTCTGTCTGGTATCTTGTCTGCTGAATGTCACTAAACTCCAGCCAGGTTCTCTTTCGCTTTTCTATTTACACTTTTGCTTCCTATACATCTTGTCCTCGACTAATCTGTTTTGAAGCTTCAGAGCCAAATCAGAATCACTATTTTTATTTCAGTTAGGGTTTTGGAACCCCGTTTGAGCATTTCCGCTCAAATGGTATCGGTGCTACTTGGACTAAAATGTCCTTCGTTTCTTCACTAGAAATATCCTGCATCTCCCACCTGATGCTCTTCTGTCTAGTTTCTTGCCTGCTGAATGTCTCTAATTCAGCCAGGTTCTCTCTAGGTTTTCTATTTTCACTCTTGCTTCCTTCGTCGATTGAGCTTCGAAGCTGAATCTGTAGAACACATTCCACCTCGGTACATACTCGTACAGGTATTGTGACCACTTATTCATTACCAGAACTATTCCTCACCTCGTTTTCGCTCGAATTATTTGACTAAACTACGTGGCACATGCAAACCAGGTAGCTGTGACCAATTTCTTAACCGAACCCTATCAGTAACCCGACTCAATTTCAACGAGGTATCTGTGGAATACGATCCATATTGGCAAATACTCTAAGACTTACTGTGATCACTTATTCATTACCAGAATTATTGCTCACTTTGTTTGCGCTCGAAGTATTTGACTAAACTTCGTGACACAAGTAGCTTCCCTCGTTTTCGCTCGAACTAGTTGACCGACCTCCGTGAAACATGCAAAGCAGGTAGCTGCAACAACTTCCTATACCGGACCTTTATCAGTAACCCGACTCAGTTTCAACGCTGTATCTGTGGAAAACATGGCACCTTGTTGCATAGTCTCAAACGTTCTGTGACCACTTATTCATTACCAGAACTATTGCTAACCTATTTTTCGCTCGAAACATTTCACTAAACTTCGTGGCACATGCAAACCAGGTATCTGTGACCACTTTCTTAGGCGAAGATCTACCATTACACATTTTCTGCTTCAAACCAATATCCGTGACACTCATTCCACCTTGGTACATACTCTTAGGCGTATTGTGACCACTTATACATTATCAGAAGTATTTCTCACGTCGTTTTCGCTCGAATTGTTTGACTAAACTTCGTGGCACATGCAATCCAGGTAGCTGTGATAACTTCCCAAACCGAACCTCTATCAGTACACCAGATCAACCTCAAACCTGTATCCGTCGAAAGCATTCCACTTTCATATTTACTCTTATACGTATAGTGACCACTTACTCATTACCAAAACTATTGCTCACCTCGTTTTCCCTGGGATCATTCGACTTATTTTCGTGACACATGCAACGCAGGTAGCTGTGACCACTTTCTAAACCGAACCCTTTCAGTAACCCGACTCACTTTCAACGCTGTATCTGTGAAATACATTCCATCTTGGTACATACTCCCAGACGTATTGTGACCACTCATTCATTACCAGAACTATTCCTAGCCGATATCTTGGTATCGGAGAAGTACGAAAACTTACTGAACTTTTCATTTTGCTTTTTCCCGCTGTAGCACCGATTATGTAAATTGAAGTTGTTTACGTATTCAACAATATGTTTGCAAGAAACCGTTCTCTGCGAGATGTATTTCACCGACGGATGTGCAAATTTATATGCACGTAACCGAAAGAACATTGCATTGGATCTCGAAGGACAAAGTACAGCGTGAATATGTATCTCTTCCATACAAAATCAGATTGATGATTTTTTTTTTCTTGCACACATGATCTATTTGAAGGTAATTTTCTATGCTAGTTTTACCCTTATCCATTTATTACTTACAAATACCTGCGACAATGATTGTTTTTCTACTATACAAAGCCCACATTGTTATCATGAAGGTATGATTGCTTCCTAATCATAACTTCACGGCACAAAACAGGGACTTCTTCGAAAATTGGACTGCAGATAACAAGATGAAGTACAATAAAAATAACACTTATGATGTAATTTTGCGTCAAATATATCTTGATTAAAGACGAAACGCGAAGAAATTTCTTTTTGATATCTCGCCTCAGGCATTTACATAGTTTGATTAGTCGGTAGATTAATACAAGGCCTAGGCTGAATGTGAGTGAATGTCTGTGTGCAAAATGTTTGATTGACAACAGGCTATGGGGTCACGATGATTGTATAGGGAAAAAAGTGGAATAAAAAAAGGGGGGAACTAGGGATGATATAAAATGTGTTAGTCCAGAACGAATAAAGCAAATGTGTGAATGGGGAGTGGGGGGAAGAGAATAGGTGTCACATATAGATTGAGGACTTGCACGAATGCTACCGGAGGAGGTTTGAAGACTACGCTAGTTCTGTTTGCTCTAAGGCCATGGAAAAGAAAAGTTTCTGAACAGTCTCGAACCCAGAGCACCCCCATCGAAATTTCCAGAGTACCCAGAGATGTACGTGCACAATTATTCATCGACTGAACTCAGTAAGTTGCTTGTCTTCACAAGAGATGATTCATTTTTAGACAAGGTTATTACTAATGACCCAGAACATTCTGCCCGCCGCACCAATTTTTACTAGCGATCATACACTGATTCTCATTAAACCCACAGTCTATTCCTGTCCCATTCATAATGCACTCACAAGAACCAATCAAAATGAAAGTGCACACCAGAAACGCAGATCGGAAAGATAAAATGGATCAGAAAGTTCGACACGACAAGACGGAACTATGATTTCAAGAATTATGGTTGACAAATCTAGTGTTGGTTTTCCCCTGAACGGTTTGAGTTCCACTGATCTAGCTCTGACGCTCGACGAGTAAACTGAATAGAGATGGGTGAAAAGTGAACACTACTGCCTGGTCAGCGTGTGCCACGGAGATGAGATGGATCAGAGGAATCGACATGGAAGGACGGGCCAAGAATTTGAGAATTATGGAGGACAAACCTTGTGCAAAAATTCACCTAAAAGCATTGTGTTCCACTAATCGAGCTTTGAAGCTCAAACATTTTACCGATTAGAGCTCAGCTGCTGCATCAGAACGTGTCACAGGTAGAGAAAAGCTTAGAAGTGACCTGAGGGTAGGAAATTTAGTCAAGTTAGGTGATTGGGTGCTGTAGTCTTAGAAGGCATTCACCATGAGGTTTCCATTCCACTTCTTGAGCTTTTAAACTCAAGAAGTGTACTATGTATAACGAGAGATTAAGTCAGGACGACATTTGTGATGAATCGTTAAATGGATATCATTGATGAAGATACAGGCTCGGTTCAGATGCTGTGTACAAAAATCACTGTGAAGGATACACTCGCGAGGATGCAGTCACCATCTTTAGGAGATTCATCCCAAAGCATCGATTAGTTTCTGTTATTTTCTCTTTTTTATGATTACTGCTAATAAAACTGTAAATATCCTCAAAATATTTTAGGTTCTTTCTATCACAGCTCCGGTTGGTGCGTCTAAGTGTTTACCGGTGAAGTTTATATTACGCAGCGCGATGACTCGATGATAACAAATTGATAGCATTTTGATATGAGTTTGGAAAATCAAAGTATAAAATTACCCGGGTCCGAGGTGAAATATCCTACAAACGACTAAGGTGATACAGGCTTTTCCGTGCATTTTGTGTGATGTTTTCTTGCCACCTAGCCAAAAGGATACCACACTTTGTAAAGTTAAGGCTATCTGACTACCGATTTCACCCAAAGCAGTCGCGTTATTGGCGCTTTCTACGTTGGTTTTTCGATGCTTTTGTTAGCAGGGCCGCCAGATTTGCCCGTGGTTACTATCGGTCCTGCGCAACTTGACCGCGTTATCTACTCTCTTTACTTTGAAAAGGACCGGTCGCGTAAAAGGTGTAGGACACTCGTCAAGACTAGGTCAACTCGTGCTGGGCTTCAATTTTCCATCTGGTCGTGCGCATCATCTGCTTCGCAAGGGCAACTACGCTGAAGGCGTTAGTGCCGGAGCTCCGGCGTACCTGGCAGCTGTGATGCATTACTTGGCCGCTGAGGTTCTCGAGTTGGCTGGTAATGCTACTTGCGACAACAAGAAGATCCTTATCATCCCTCACCACTTGCAATTGGCCATGCGTAACGATGAGTAGTTGAACAAGCTTTTGGTTGATGTTACCATTGCCCAACATTCTGCTCCTCTGCCCAAGAGGACTGTCAAGGTCAAGGACTAGACTGTTATCCGGTTGTTTGGGAACGCGAAGAACGTGAAAACGGCCCTTTTCAGAGCTACTCTAAGCAGCATTTTCCGTTACGGACAGAGGAACACACGCGAGGTACTCTATCACGTGGCGTAAACTTCAGTCAGTTGGTCTTCCGTTAGTCTACCGGCTCTCGCTCAGGTCAGCAACGTTCTGGGACTCCTTCCCAGCGACCGTAGTAAACAAAACGATCGGTGCTGCTTTTAAATGGCGCTTGGATGAGCACCTCAAAGGGCTATGGAGGAAAGAACACATGTGATCGGACATTCGACCCAGTGGTGATGGGGCTTACACGAGTATCACACCCTCTGCCCTTACTTCTGAAGACCTGACCTGATCGCGCGCCGTGCAGGGTGTTTTCACCGGTGCCGTAGCACTCTTTTAACAGAAGCCTTCCAACTATACACGCCACAAATTACTGAAGTGGGTTTTCCCTCTGTGTATTGAGTTATTGGCTATCCGAAGAGCAGACAAGCAAGCAGTAGAGAAGGAGAACCAAGTCTTGGAAATCGGCAATGTCTCAAAATCCATTGCTTCCCCAGATCTGGACGTCACTGTGTTCGATTGCTTTGCACAGGACACTGCTGCGGTCCACATAACTGAAGGCACCGATGTCACGTGTTCTCTCGGCAAACGAACTGAATGCACAAAAGAGAACCAAGCGCGAGAAACCCAAAACCTAAAACGAAGGGATTAGAGGCCCAGAATGAGACCCATCCTGAGAAAGTTGGACTGCAGAGCCTTAGTCATAGAGTTGAACAGCAGGAAATAGTGCTGCAAAGGTTAAGGGGAGACTGATATGCTCCAGAGAGCTATCGCGAACCTTGTGGCTCAAACCGAACTGGAGACACTGAAATCTACTCATCCATGGAATCCCAGAGCCAATTACGCAACAGAAGAAACACAGGGAATACCATATAAAAGGCATTTTACCAATCTCCGTATGGTGAATATCCCCTGGTATGTGTTGCTTAAGCGAATCCTAAGATTAGAAAGTGAAAAGCAGGAACCGAGGTGAGCCACAGACCACGGCCTACCTTGGTAGAAATTTGGAATCCAAGACACTGGGACCATCGACTATCATCCTCAAGGCAACCATGAACGGGAAGATCACTATTGAACCCAATAATGGGGCTGAAAGATATGGCCCATATCAAGAAAGGAGGCTATTCCGTGAACTAGAAAACCGTTTCCGTATAACCCGGGTGACCGCCTTCAAGGCAAATTCCCAAACAGGAAACCCCGAGCAAAAACTAAATTCTCGTCGCGATCAGGGACACCATACAGGACCTTTGCTGATGCAATTATTTACTATCCTATTGCTAAAAAATGCGCTTGTAGATTCAGCCTTCAACGCTGTTTCACAAGTTTGAGCCCATGACCACGCGTTCCTTGGTGGGGAGCTTCAGTGAAGAGCGGCTCTGGATCTAAACACAGCAAATTCCTCTTAACCTTAAATACTTCGATGAGATCTCCGCACAACCTCTTTTTTAGTGAAGAAAGACCGAGCGCGCACAGCCTCTGTATGTTTGTTTTGTGTGTATGTATATTTTTTTTGTATGTTTTACCTCTCATACCCTCAACAATCCGTGTTGCTAGACTTTGGACCTTCTCCAAAAAGGCTGGGTCCGTTTTCTAGAAGGGTGACCAAGCCTGAACATATTACTCCAAGTGAGGCCTTACAATAGCTTCGTAGATGAGCATAAATACGTTTGCTTTCCTAAACGAAACCGCTGACCTTAGTCGAAACAGCTGCTGTCTTGACATATGTGCTGCAGCTTCACATTGGGTACTCCAACTGTAATCTGCAGTCACTATTACTCCTAGATTCCTGGAACTGATTACATTGCTTACTTCGAATTGCCCCCAATCACCTAGAACCTTTAATGTTTCCCGAGTACTAGAGAGCAACTGACTCGGTTGCATTTAGTGGCATATCCCATGTGTGGGACCACTTGACCACCTTTGCGATATCATCTTCTAAGTCTGATCTTTCACTAGATCCAACCACCTTCACATTATCAGCGAAGATGAAGCATGGTGAGTTGGTAATTTCTTCTGAGTCATTTATGAACAACAGAAATAGAAACGGGTCTAACACCGACCCTTTTGGCACACCACCAGTGACATGAAGGACTGCAGACGTTTGTCCTCCTATCCTAACGTAGAATGTCCTATTTGTCAAGAATCCTGCCACCCTTCATCGGTGAAGATCAAGAAGAACATCTATTTGATTTTGAATAAGTGAGAATTATCGACTAAGCGCGGTCAAAACACGCCAGAGAATTTATCGAGGCTTGGCACTCTTCAATCAACTCACTAAACAGGTACATCTAACATGATAACGTGTACACACCAATGACCCTCATGAACCAAATGACGCAAGAAAGGTCACACCGTGATCTGAAAATGGACGGAACCCCCAATCAGGATGAAAGGACAACCTCCTCCTCTCCCATTCTCATCACCTCGCACCAGTTCAACGGCGAACCGAAATGAACACAATGAGAACAAGGGACAAAAATAGTCGGTGGAAAAGAACACAAATGAACGGGTACAAGCAGAAAACTGCCACTTCACAAGCACTGATAATGTCATCTCGGCTAAGTAATGCGTACGCTAAGAGGTGGTTAAAGACATGAGTCCTGATTAGCTTTTCTATGCACTTGCATAGAATATTAAGCCAGCTGGTCTGATTATTTCATGTTGATTTTTTTTGAAAATCCTTCCAAACCCATGATAATTCAAGCTGATATAAATCTATCTGTGTGTTGCTTCTCTATTGACATTTCTCAATCACAAATACCATACATTATTGTTTATCTGTTAATTCGATGTCCGGCACATTTGAAGCTTGCGCGGTTAGAGAACGTGAGCGACTGTTTGGCTCTATCTGGACATCATATTGGGCTCGCTTGCTTGGTTGCTTTTGGTCGCGTATTTGAGGTTTGCTTTATTGTACATTTGGTAGTGATCCCGCTAATTCAGTACCGTAGAACATTACGGATCAATCATGTTTTATTTCGGGATTCGTATCGGTTTCGGCTACGCGTCACTCAAGTGCGACTTGGTTGACGTACAGTCTATAGTACTGTGGATTAGATCTATTACCACCTTTGTGTAACGCCACCACAACGGCGATTTTCCAGTCTCCCGGGAGCACGCCTTCCTCCGAATACTTCTAAAACAGCACCCTTAACGGGTCTGCTAGGATTTGGGAAAGTAGTGCTAAATCATTTTTTATCAACTTACCGTCCCACCTCGATGATCTGACTAGAAAACGCGACAGGGGTGATGCAGTAGAAAATTTGGATTTCCGGAAAGCCTTTGATTCCGAAAATCACCATTTACTGCTTACCAATCTCAGGGCTCTAAACTTGCCACCAACAGTGATGCGATGGCTAGAGGATTACCTTAAGCATCGGAAATTTCATGTCAGAGTGGAGGGTGAGTGCTCCTGTTTAGCCTGCAGCGGAGTACCTCATGGTTCAGCCTTGGGGCCATTACTATTCATCATTTTTATAAATGATTTGATCGTCAGGCTTAATTCTCACTGTTATCTGTTTGCCGAGGACGATAAGATAGTCGACAGTTCATACGAGGAGACTATAGAAGCAGACCCTTGTACTCACTAGTAGATGTCTGAAGTCTGGGGCCTACCCCCCAAAATAGGAGAGTGCAAGCAGCTACATATTGGGAGACAACCTGCACCCAGAACCATCAACCAGGAGAAACCCCAGACCATAGAAAGGGTTACAGAAATAAGGTACTTGGGCGTAAACATTCACGAGTCATTTACGTCATCTGCCCAATGTGTTATTTCAGGAAGCAAAGCCCAGAGGGCTGTCAATCAACTACGCAGGACAGTAGACTCTAGAGCTCCCCAAGTTCTCATACCACTATACAAGGCCGCACCTTGAGTATGCTATGCAAGCCTCGGCTTCAGCCTTGAAAATAGAACAACTTTCGCAGAAGGTCCAGTGAAGGTTCACAAAGATCATTGCGGGCTTAAGGGACATTCTAAATGAAGAAAGGTTAATGACCTTCGGAATTTTTTCTCTCCAACGTCGGCGCCTCAGGGGTGATCTCATCGAAGTATTCAAACAGATGAAAAGGTTGTCCAATACTACCTCGCCCCTCTTCACCCTGGAAGAAAGCCCTACAACGA